TATCCTCTTATCGATATCAAGCACAATGACATTGACAACTTGTGATTATTTTTTTAGAATGACTTAATGGGCCAATCCTGATAATATTTTGGAGAATAAAACTGCTTAATTTTGTGTTAAAATCCCTTAAAATCCTCTACGTTATGGCCAGGCAACTAGCTCAACAATACGTCTTTCAATTTAAGCCTGTCCGTCTTCATTTGGAAATGGAGACCGGTGTTCCAAGCTGTATTATGCGGTGTCTGGATAAAACCAGAGTTTTATCTTATATAAATAATGTGTAGGTGAAATTTACCTTTAGTTATCAAGTACAACACATGGGTCATTCATTGTATAGACCACTCAAGGAACAGGAAATGATTATCAGGTCACCCCCAAAAAATATTGACCCGAAATCTTAAAAGGGTTAAATGTCCGCAGAAGCAGTTTTGACGTTCACGTCCAAACCACTCATTATTTTGAGCTGAAATTCTGAGACAAGGTAAATACGCCATTCCTCTATATTTTGGTGCTTAAATTTCATACATACTCAGATTTTTGTTTTTGAGACTCTGTTCAAATCGGGATAGTCCCTTAAAGTGACAGTAAGCTACTGTAATGTAACAGTAGCACTGAAATAAATTGGGGTGTAGCAGCTTGCTTTTCCGCACTAAACAAGCTTAGTTGTTCAGATGGGACAGAAAACTGAGGTCCCGTGTACACATTGGGGTGCACGTAAAAGAACCCTTGGCAGTTGAAATTCGATATAAGAGTAGGCCGTAGTGCCGCTGTCCGGACAAAATTTCCCTCGTGCCAATCTTCATTAGCCCAGTTCGGAGCAGAACAGTAGGAGGTTTAACCTCATTTCATTTCATTAACTGGTGTATATACAGTAAATATATACATGTCATCATGTAGTTTTTTTTTAATAATAGTGTATTTTTATTACGTCTTTTTTATACAGAATTTCAGTGCATATCAATTCAAGTCCTGATTTTATCAAATCATTTTCTAGCTGTGGTGTCATTTAACCCACCCACACAAAATTTTTTTGACCTCCCAAAGTCACTTGTGACTATGCAGCCCCTTAAGGGGACTTTTCCACTCTTATATAATTGCACTCTTATATAATTGTTTTGTTTCGAAATATTAAATCCTTTAATTAAACGAAATAGTGTGCAATCATGTACGAAAATATTATATAAGAGTGGAATCATGCACTTAAGGCGCTCCGTAGTCACAAAATATGTTATAAATATGTATTTAAATATTGAGGAGATGTATATATTTCATGTGGTAAATACATGTACTTAAAGGGACAATAACACTCTTGCTGGCTTGACAGCTCCAGAAAATAAAAATAGCCTTATTCTAAGTACTAGATGTGTTAGTGTCCTACCTGTTTTGTAAATTATCCATTAAATCCTATTTTACTTGTCCAAAGGGTTCAAAAATATTTTTAAATCCAAGTCACATTTGAAAAGGTTTACGCCAGGCTTTTCAAATCATTTAGTTGAATTTTTCCAATTTTTTAAATTAGGTGTGTTAAGATGAAATTTGTATCATCAATTAATTGGAATATTGTAAAATAGTACAATTTGTTGACCAGAATAAAGATTAGGACATATTATTCAGTTACAACAAGAGTGGTATTGAGCCTTTAAACATACATTATAGCAAGAGCTAAATCTGCCTATTACAGGTCTTTCTTTAGGCCTTAAATGCTATATAAACTATTTTAAAATTTATTAACCTGACAAGACCATAATCAACTCTCGATGCCATCGGATATCTCTGATATTAAATAGATTAGAACGGTTCAGTCATATCTTGATTTAATTTAAAAATGGAGCAGTGAGGCTAAGCTTCGAACAACCGGTACTTTGGTAACAATTAATGCACACATCTTGTCAAACGTTCAAATCAAACGCTTATATCTTTGCTCGCAATAAGAGTAATTTGAATGAAATTTTCAATATATTAATATTGCATTATATATTTTTGAACTATTACAGCAAGAATGGCTAGCTCTTTGTTTAAATCTTACATAATGTATCTTTAAATTGACGAAATTATTGTTATTTGTTGGCAATTAAATTTTTGAGGCATCATTTTAGCGCTTTATAATCGCCAATCTGTTTAAAATACACATCTATATTTAGTTTCATTTTTTTATACTTTAGATGGCCTTTACTACATGAACATCTGACCAGTTGTAGTGGAAGGTCGCACCAGAGGTCATACAAGCGGCTTTGGACCCCATGATGTCAGACATTCGGTTAACCAATCAGTATTGAAGTTTCTAAGGGGATACCCACAGTTCTGTGCATCGCACACCAAGAACTCGCTGCAACAGACTGTCTCATTGGCTAATCCCTCACATTAACCAGAACGCAGGTTATTCATGTATAACAACTCTTCCAGATTCTAGTGTAGTAAAAGTCAAGTAAAATGAAATTTTAAACTATAAAGAACGAAATGAATTAGGATCTGTGTTTTAATCGGATTGATTCATCATCACACCTAATTAATAATTATTATATAAATGTGAAATTAAACATAATGTATTACCACAACAATCGGATTCGAAACCGGTCTGGGGATCATCTGGCTAAGTGGGTAAGACGCTGGCTCGCTTGCCTGGAGGTCGGGCGTTCGATCCCTGCATTGGCCGAGAAAGTTCATCCAGATTTTCCAGCACGGTTTCCCCTTGTCAGTGATGCAGGACGGAGGGCCTGACATGGACAGCTGTCTAGTCCTTCGGATGAGACGAAAAACCGAGGTCCCGTGTATATATTGGAATGCACGTAAAAGATCCTCGGGCAGTTGGAATTGGATGGCGTATGCCCGTCTACATTAGCCCAGTATAGGAGCAGAACAGCAGGATGTTAAACCCATTTCATTTCATTTCGAAACCGGTCTATGTACAAAATGTTTCATTATTTGGTCACTGCCCAAAAATATTTATGGTTGGCCCAAAAATTTATTTTGAGCTAAATTTTGTCGGTACAGCGGGCCACAGCCTACTTTTATATCCAATTCCAACTGCCAAGGGTTATTTTACATGTACACCAGTGTATACACAGGACTTTGTTTTTCGTAAATCTAACAGGAAAATAACATTAACACATTTATTTTCTAAAATTCTGAACTTATTAAAAATATATATATTTGTGTTTTTTTCAAACACCATGAATAAGTAAAAAAAAACCCCAAAAAACACACATCTACATATAAAATTGAAAAATGCATAATCTCTCTTTGTTGTTTATTAAAACATCATTCATATGTAGAAAATATATTTATAAAACTGAAAAATACAGGCTTCATCTTACTGCTAAACTCACACACTCTCATTCATTCTCTCTCTCTCTCTCTCTCTCTCTCTCTCTCTCTCACACACACACACACCATTCATAAGTAACAAATACATTTATCTATGAAATTATAAACATATGCTCTCTCTCTCTCTCTCTCTCTCTCTCTCTCTCTCTCTCTCACACACACACACACACACACACACAAACCATTCATAAGTAACAAATACATTTATCTATGAAATTATAAACATATGCTCTCTCTCTCTCTCCATTCATGAGTAAAAAATATTATCTATAAAATTTTAAAAAGTACTCTATTTCCCCATTACCCTCTCTATGAAAATGAAAAAAAATATTCTCTCTCTCACACAGGGTTTATGAGTAAAAAACACATTTTATTTATAAAATTGAAAAAAGTATTCTTTCTCTACATTCCTCTCTCTTTCTCTCAACCCAGGGTATATATTATAAAACAGATCTAGGTGACTAGGTAATCTCTCTCTCTCTCTCTCTCTCTCTCCATTCATAAGTAACAAATACATATATCTATGAAATTGAAAAAATATGCTCTCTCTCTCACTCACCCTTCATGAGTAAAAAAACACATAAAATTACAAAAAAAATACTCTATTTCTCCATTCCTCCCTCTTTCTCTCAACCCAGGGTATAAAATTATTAAAATAGATCTAGGTAACTAGGTAATAAATAAATCAGATAATAATGTAAATAATACATTGGTGTCATTATGTTCTACGAAATGTCGTACCTTGCATTTTAATACGGTTAACGACCGGTATATTTTTAATTATGTTAAAAAATGATAAATATTGCGGTGATAAACAGGTTGGTCAATATATTGTAAATATCGCATTATTAAAAGCGTTTAACCACAGATTATCAGATCCATATATAGTTTTACGATGTACAGTGAACGACATTTCAAAACTTGCACTCGTTCGTTATTATTGAAACCTATTAATAGTAACTATACGTCATTAGATTGTTTATATAATATTACTGTTATTTACTAGTAGTAGTACACAAAACAGTTCCGCTGCCATATTTCATTATTATATAATAATGTTGAGAATGGTATTCTCGTAAGCAATAACCTTTAACCGTCAGATTGAAAATAATTACATCTAAGAGTTGAGATTTCCAAACTAATTATTAGCGATTTAGCCGATCTTTCTTCTATATGCACATGTGCGCTTTGTTACATCATCGCCCTTTCGAGACAAATGCAAGTTCAATGAACGCCGGTTGCGCTCAAATCCGGCATAGTCTAGCGACAATTATATTATCATTCACGGCAACTTTCGGAAAGAACAGAAATTTATTTTACAAGAAATTAATTTATCCTGATGTAAATGTACAGAACACGAGATACCGGTCAGCGCTATTGTCTAAATATAGCGTGGCTGAAATCCAAACGTGTGGTTCGCATTAAAGCACACAACACATGCAAAACCCACAATATCACTCGTGCTCACACTCGTGTACAACTGAATACATTGTATAGTATACCCGATAACCCACGTGCAATAACGGGAAAAAAGAAAACGGTTATAGTTATACCCATTGAGTAGCCTAATTTATCCATGTATTAAAAATAAACGCTAAATATTTCAATAGTCTTATATTATAATAGCTTCAATGACCAAAGCGAGATTGCCAGTCAGAAAATAAGCATGCACTTACCTATTCGGGCAGAGCGCCATATAATTGTACAGCCGTGATACAGACAGTTGCCGGGTGATTTTCAATTCACGCATGCGTGTCTTCCAAATCTTTTGGTTTCTCGTCGTCTGCTGCTGGAAGTCTGTAAATAATTAGTTTTTAATAGAAAGTTCGAGAAATGCTAAACAAATTGTGGATATGGATTGAGATAAATTATTAACTAATGATAAACAAACAATATTGTTCAGCCTTAATATTAAACTAGTAGGCCTAGTAATATAGAGTACAAATCGGTCATATTCTAGGCATGCGGTTGTGAACACCGGCTAGTGCTGTTTCATTGACATTTTTAATGATACATTATTCGACTACATTTATTTTGAAATCTATGATTAACTCTCTAACAATTTTCGTTAATTATTCATAGTTATTGCCCTTGTTTGTCTCATAAAAATGTTTGAAACAGTTATTTTTGGCTTCAAATGTTATAGGCTTTAAAGGCTCAATACCACTCTTGTTGTAACTGAATAATATGTCCCAATCTTTATTCTGGTCAACAAATTGTACTATTTTTTTAGAATATTTCAATTAATTGATGATATAAATTTCATCTTAACACACCTTATTTAAAAAATTTTGAAAAATTCAACATAATGGTTTGAAACATCTTACGTAAACGTGTTCAAATGAAACTTTGATTTAAAAATTTAAAAAATATTTTCGAACCCTCTGGACAAGTAAAATAGGATGTAATGGATAATTTACACAACAGGTAGGACACTTAAACATCTAGTACTTAGATAGAGATATTATTTATTTTCTGGAGCTTTCAAGCCAGCAAGAGTGTTATTGTCCCTTTAAATTGTTAATTTGTCATTTATTCACGTGACACACACACAATCACTAGGTGGTTATTTTAAATGGATTAAAATACAATTGCCATGTAATAATTTAATGTAAAAATGGATAATCAAGAATTTGTTTAATATCGTCTCAATGGTAGGCCCTTCTATTACAATAAAGTAATCTGACTGAAATTTTCAATATAGGCCCAGGCCTATATTCATTTTGCATTACGGGTACCGATTTTTTGACTCTTATATAGCAAGAACGGCCAGCTCTTTATCTAAATCTTGGATGATGAATCTGTAATTTGACAGCCTGGGGGAATTTACCTGTCCTTCGCACACATTTCACCATAGACCATAAAAATAATGGTTACAAATTAGTTTATGAGTTGAGATAATGCCAAAAATTCTTTTCTTGATAAAGAAGAGAGAAGCCTTATGGAAACGTCGCCAAATTTTTAAGTAACTCGTATTCCATATTATTATGTCATGTGTTATTGCCATTCAGTTACTAAATGCTGTTTTAACAATTTCAAAATTGGGTACGCATCAAATAACCTTGAATTAAAACACAGTAATAACAGTTAAAATATAGTTTTTATGTGTAAATTTATAGTTTTTAGGTGTAAATTTATAGTTTTTATGTGCAAATACTGACTACGCATCAAATAAGTTAAAATTAAAACACATTAATAGCAGATAAATTTATATAGTTTTAATGTGTAAAAATACCCATGTATTATAAAATGTGATAATATTAAAAATTGGCATAATAATTGGAAAAACATTGAAATACACTCACACTTTGCTTAGAATAAAGTAATTTGATTGAAATTTTCAATATACTCATTTTGCATTCCCTATTTTTGGACTATTATAACAAGACAGCCAGCTCTTCTTCTAAATCTTACATAATGCAATATTAAATAAAGTAATTTGAATGGAATATTCAATTTCATTTTCCGTTATCTATTTTTGAGCTATTACAGCAAGAACGGCCAGCTCTTTATCTAAATCTTACATAATGCATTTTTATATAAAGTAATTTGAATGGAATATTCAATTTCATTTTCCTTTATATATTTTTGAGCTATTATAGCAAGAATGGCCAGCTCTTTATCTAAATCTTACATAATGCATTTTTAATTTATAGTTTTTATTTGTAAAAATACCCATATATTGATATATAATGCTTCACACCAGGGCTTCCACTTCAAAATTTTCACTGCCGGTCATTTTTGATAACGCAGGAAAACTTTTCAAAGTAAATTCATATTTTATGTTTTTTTATTCATGGTACGGTATTGTGAATTCACGTGTCTATACCACTTTGTCAGCATAGGGTACACAAAAATATATATATTGGACTTAAAAATGGAATATTAGTAAGGCTTATGATAATTATTTTTTCATTAAATATTCTGATTTGGCTACCAAATTTGAGAAAAATCTGTAGTTCTCATCAGGCAATAAATAAAATGAAAATGGGCTAACCATCCTATTTTTCTTCTCCAATCTACCAAATTTTCTTAATAATATTTAATCAACAGACTTGCGTATAAATTATCTTACAATTGAGAATTTGTGAGAATTTGTATTCATATTGATCAATTAGTGAGAATTTGTATTTATATTGATCAAATTCTAACATAAGTTTGTAAAAAAAAAGGTCTATTTTGTGTGAGTTTTTTATATTTTTTACGTAGGGATGTGCTTAATTGATAAATACTCCTTAAATCTTTTTCTTAAATCTTTTCTTAAAAATTATAAATGTGACAAATATTCTTAATTATTTTTAATCAACAGGATTGCATATAACAGACATGGGGTTAACATCCATTTGACACAAACTAGGTCATTTTGGAACTAAAAAATGATTAAAAACATTTCTCAATAATTTGCTTGCATTTAGGGGTCTTTAGCTGTGGGAGGAGACCGGAGGACCTGGTGAAAACCCTTGAGGTTAGACAGACAACCCTACTCCTGGTCATGTACAAACCGGGAATCGAAACCATGCCAGTTGACTCAATGACAGACCTTATGATCTAATAAACATGCATTAACAATTCAGTCCCCTCCTCCTCCCCCACCCCCACAGTTATTACAAATATAAATCACAAAATTTAAGAATTAGTACAGACAAATCACTTTGTTAGATAATGAAATTATTTATTCAGTTTTCAAGTAAAATACTCATTCAAGTATTTTTTCATCAAATTATTCTAAGTCACAAAAGGAGAGTGTTGAGCCTACCTTTGCATACAAATCAATGTTTGACTGTTACCCTTGAATATCTATATCTTATGGAAGGTAAAATAGGTAGAATCATTCCTTATATAATTAAATGTGACACAGATTGCCCATTTTCTTTATTTAATAGGCCAAGACAAATGCTAATTATTACCTTCCCAAAATTTTGGCATTAAAGGGACTGTGTCACATTTCTAGTTAAGAGAAATGAGAGAAAATTGGATTTAATATGGTAATTCTACATTTCTAACCTATTATATTATTATTCTTGTTCATAAGAAATAGTATAGCTTCAGTTAGACACAAGTTGTTAGGGTGAGACGAAAAACCGAGGTCCCGTGTATATATTGGAATGCACGTAAAAGATCCCCTGGCAGTTAGAATTCGATATAAGAGTAGGCGATAGTGTCGCTGCCCGGGCAAAATTTCCCTCATAGAACACTTTATGGCATATGCCCGTCTTCATTAGCCCACTACTGGAGCAGAACAGTAGGACGTTAAACCCCATTTCATTTCATTTTCATTTCATTTTCATTTCATTTTCATTTCATTTTCATTTCATTTTGTTAAGATGTATTATGGATTACTAGACAGAAGTTGTTAGGGAATATTATGGATTACAAGACAGAAGTTGTTAGATTATATTATGGATTACTAGACAGAATTTGTTATATTTGTTAGGGTATATTATGAATTACTAGACATAATTTGTTAAGGCATATAGGCATAGTATGGATTACTGTGGTATATTATGAATTACCGGTACTAGACATAATTTGTTAGGGTATATTATGGATTACTAGACATACCTTATTGGAGTATATTAGTGAAGTTGTTAAAGTATATTACGGTTTACTGTGGTATATTATGGTTTACTACACATAAGTTGTTAGGGTATATTATGGATTACTAGACAGAAGTTGTTAGGGTATATTATGGATTACTAGACAGAAGTTAGGGTATATTATGGATTACTAGACATAAGTTGTTAGGGTATATTATGGATTACTAGACAGAAGTTAGGGTATATTATGGATTACTAGACAGAAGTTGTTAGGGCATATTATGGATTACTAGACAGAAGTTGTTAGGGTATATTATGGATTACTACCCTATTAACCCTGTTTGTGTTTACCGGGGGGTTTAGGTGGTCGAATGGTTTAAAATGTGCACATAAGATCATAAGGGTATGTCAAGTGGCGTGATTTCGATTCCCCGCTTGTATGTGACATAGAGTAGGGTCACTTGTCGAAACATCATGGGTTTCTAAGGGTCCTCTAGTTTCCTCACACAGTTGAAAACCCCTACGCGTGGTTCCCCCTTGTCAGTGGTGCAGGACGGAGGGATTGACAAGGACAGCTGTCTAGTCATTCAGATAGGAAGAAAAACCGAGGTCCCGTGTACACATTGGTGTGCACGTAAAAGATCCCTTGACAGTTGGAATTCGATATAAGAGTAGGCCGTAGTGCCGCTGTCCAGGCAAAATTTTCTTCATAGCACACTGTTTGGTGTATGTCCATCTTCATTAGCCCAGTTTGGAGCAAAACAGTAGGACATTAAACACCAATTTATTTCATTTCATTTATAATTTATCAACTTTCTTTCCTCTATTTTGAAAATGTAAATGCCTTTTAATTTCGGTCTATTGAATATCAAATTGCATATGTATGCCATTAATTTTACTAGCCAGGGCAGAACAGTTGAACATTCAACCCCCTTTCATTTATAATTTATAAACTTTTTTTCCTCTAATTTGAAAAGGTAAATGCCCTTTAATTTGTTGAATTAATATGCGTAAACATGAAGAGTGTGAATCAGGTGAGGTGTGGACCATCAGTGTAGTAACAATCTCGAATTAATTCACACCATTCATAAGAATTGTTTTTCTAAAATCTATGTGTTAGTCAGTCATAAACATCAACACTGACCTCTTAATCGTTCAAATTGGAACAGGATTTGAATTAAAGATAGTTCCAGTTCATATTATTGTCCATTCAGCAGATCTTGTTTGGGTATTGTTGAATTGAAATGGTGTCAACACTGTTT